CGCCGGGGCCCCAGATGGGGCCCTGTCACCACCCCACCCCCTCCTCTCCTAGTCCCTTTCCCCATATTCTAATCCCCCCACACTTCGTCACTCACCTTTTCCACACAGCGCCCCAATGCCTGACCCTGATCCAGCCTCCTGCCAATCTCGGGAGTGCTGTGGGGTCCACTCTGCAGGGACCTTAGCTACTTGGTGACCACACCCCTCCCCCTCCAGCCCCCGCCATCTTTCTCCTATCCCTGCTCGATTCTCCCATCTCCAAGCCCCCTTGCCCCATGAGCGTTTCCCAGGACCACCTCCTGCATTGTTTTCCCCTTTCTGTGTCACTTGGCATGGGGAACAAGATCTTTCTGGGTCCCTCTGCCCCTCTCATCCTGTCACTCTGCCTCCTCCATGTAAGCGTCTGGCCCTGGCTGGGGTGGGCAGACTGTTTATGAACCTAGAGAGCTGCTTCTGCGCTTCCAGATCCAAGTTCTAGCTGGTCTCGCTCAGAGCCATTGCGTCTGTCCTCTTTCTTGGGTTGCGGGTGGGGGAAATCGGCAGAGCACCCTCCCATCTCCTGGCCTGCCCTAAGCTCTGGGTTCCTTGGAAGGCCCCTCAATAAATGGTCGTTTCACAACTGCAGTTCTGTCATTCACCCAGTCCCTGGGACTGTTTCGCTCTGCCTGGTTCAAGGCTGAGAATGAAATGTGTTAGCAAGGGCTCATTCGACTTGAATTGGGATGGTCAGAAAGGAATTGCAAGGGTAGGGTAACGACACCCAGCAAAAGGTGACAGCTAATGATTTGGTTTGTTGAGGACAGATGGATACTGTGCATACCCTGGACTCATCCAAAGGGAGGTGTGTTCTACTCCCCCCTTCCCCACCCCAAACATGCTGAATTTTTCCAGCCAGGTAAAGAAACTGATTCTGTATTTGAAATGCCTTCAGAAGGACCTTGTGCCTGTTCCCAATGCTCTCACCTCTTAAAGTGGTGTAATTCTAAGCTAAAGCAGATCCCCTTCAGTTACCCAGAAATAGTCAGACCCACCAAAAGGGGGGAGGGGCTGTGACCAGCTCTGCCCTTCTCAGTGTTTGAGTCCCCAGAATGCCACCGAAGCCCAAGAACTTTCTGCCCCTCCCCCCTTTCAAACAGCGGGGCAGTCTAAAGAGGCCTGGCATGTCACTGATGGGCGGGGGACGGAGAGGCAAGTGCTTGTAGTTGAGGGCTTGATGACAGGAGCAGGTGGGTAGTGCCCAAAAAGGTCTTGGACTTGAGCTTGGAGGGGCCCAGGCAGAAGGGGAGGGCCATCCCCCTTGGCAGGTGAGGCCCACCAGGAGGTAGATGGTTCTGGCAGTGGGGTGTATATTGCAGTAGCCTTTTGAAAACTGAGGGGACATAGTGCTGAAAAAGCTTCAAGCATATCAGACACATTCAGCAGAAACTAAGAGCTACAGAGGATAAAGGGGTCCAAGAAAAAGATCAGTCTCCGAGTTGGCCAGCTGTTTTTGTTGGGATGAAATCCAGCTACTGTTTATCAGGCATCCAAGAGGGCTAACTTAAATGGGCTCTGTAGACAGACTTATTTTGATGACTTTTGTCCAAATGAGCCATCTGAGTTTGACACAGATGACATCATGCAGCAGAATTCACACCCAGATCTGTCTACCCAAAGATCTCTTGGACCCCAGAATGTTTCAACTTAGACATTCTTTTGTTTGTTTTAGCTTTTGAGACAAGGGTCTCTCTGTGTAGCTCCAGCTGACCCAGAACTCTTTCTGTAGATCAGGCTGGCCTCAAACTCATAGAGATTTGCTTGTCTCTGCTTCCCAAGTGCTGGGATTAAAGGCGTGCATCACCATGTCCAGCCTTCATTCATTCTTAAGCTGCCTCCACAGGAGTTAAACCCTAGCCATACTTTCTTAATTTAAAATGATAAAAACATACTGTGAATAATAGTGTATATTGGTGCTACCAGCGATTCAAGAGGCTGAGGCAGGATTGTTTGAGCCCAGGAATTAAAGGCT